AAATAACTATAATGTGACCACATTTATTATTTATAATATAGATATAATAATCAATGTGAATAAAAATAATTTAAGTTTATTTTAATTCAAAATGGCTGACTTTCATAAACACATTGAAAAAATACCAAACCTAGCAAGTTGCTTGTCATTTGCAATGAGTGCCAAAGTACAATGTCAGCTATTGAATCAAAGTGACAAAAATGCTTAAAAAACAATTTAGATTTTTACTATTGGTTTAATAATAAGATCTAATGTAATGAGTTTTGATAAATGTTGTTTTTTATTTTCATGGATTTATGTACTAATATAATATGTAATCATACCTGAATATAATCATATGTATAATGACACATGCCTTTACGAAATAAATGAGTAAATCTTTATGAATTTTTACTTACATGGTTTATGGACCCAAAAAAATGTCGGGGTGGACAAACGCCCCACTGCACTAATGCCGAAAAAAAACTCAGTGCACTAACGCAGGGTTAAAGGGTTTGATGAAGGATTATATTTGTATTTTAATCCGGTATTTGAAGATTCTTTAATTTATTATAATTACTCCTTACAAAAAAAACAAAAAAAAAATCACTTCTATTAAGTCAGCATTCACTGAAGCTATTAAATCATATTTAATAATTTTAAGAGGAGAAAGTAAATGCTCTACTGAAACTTAGTTGATGGCAATGCTGTATCTTGGATTATGTCTGGATAGTGCAGTATTACCATTTTAACCATCCAAACTTGAAAAGTGATCAATGTGATTTATTTTTTCCAATGCATAGTAAATATCATCTTCAAATTTTGTAAGATTTCCTTTTCTGTCTGTACTCATATTAGAACTCAAGCTTAATTTTGAGGGTAGAGACAAGTTTTATAAAAAAGAAACTAGCAGATGAGCTAGATGTTGCTCAGGCAAAAAGTAACAATAACGAAGATTAAGATTATTAGATTATAGCTGATCTTACCCATTTTCACTAGGTGCAAGAATCAGGTCCCCCGTCTTCTGAGACTAATTAGAGAATTTTTAGATGGGTCTAAAAGTATGTTAGATTTTTCACAAAAACGCAAAAAATCTCAAATAAAATAGTAGAGTAGAAACAGAGTTCTTCAGGTAATCCTTAACCCTCTCCCTCCATGAGAGGAATTTCGAAAAATCCCTTCTTAGTGTACATTCTTATGACGTATCCTAACTGTGTACCAAATTTCAACTCCTAATTGTTTAAACTTTGAGTTTATTATCATTATTTTTAACCCATCTTGATTATATTATAAGATTGTGAATGCTAATAACAAGTAAAATATTCATTAAGTCTGACCACACTGGAGATATGACACATGACCCCTTTCTGTCTCTATCCTGTCGACCTTTAATTAAGAACCAAAATTTAATAGCATTAATGCTCTTTATACACATGCTATTGTGCTAAATTTTGTTTCTTAAACTTTACTCATTCTGAGATATTGTTTAATATTTCAGAACAGAATAAAGAAATTAAACAAATTAGACACCAACATATGCGTACGCAAATTTTTCCCTTTATTTGACATTTTTTGGTTCAAGATCTCTCCAAAATGTATAGATTTGAAAAAAACTCAGAGGGTCAAATGTGACATGATTCAAATACTTTTTGTCTTTTATATACATAACAAGTTGGGAAAGTAAAAAGGAGTCAGACTATGACTTCAACTAAAACATCAAAATTCCATGACTCAGACTCCACAGTCTTGATAATAATAATACTAACTTGTATTACTTTTTCTATGAATTTGCCTTGAATGTCACTTTATTATTGTAATTCTTTAACTATATAATACTGTCATAACCAAAATGAACCCCAGCCCCACTGCTAGCGATAGAATGATGCAAACCAATGTGCTTACTCTCACTAGTCACTAGCTTTCTAAAGTGGCAACAGACAAGAGCTCTGCACCATATAACATGCAACAAACAAAATGTTTGCTTGTTTGGACAGCATGTGAATACACGCTGCTCCATTGCTGCAGCTGCACGCCCCAAACCATTTTCTGTCAGTTTTTGCCACGAACGCGAAGGGTTTTGTTGGCACAGCATTCTTTATTTCCGATTCTCACGCACACTTTGGTACTGATACATGTGACACAAAATGATCTTTACGAATCTTAAACATATGACATAAGTTTATGACACAATTGACAAAAGCTTAATCTTTCCAAAACTTTGGACTTTTTTAAAATGCTGCAGGATGCAGGACAAATTGTTAAAAAGCAAGACATCTGGTCACCTTAGCCATGCCACTCCACAACAAAAATGAGCTTAAACAACAATGGCCCAAATGGTGCCGATTCGGTAAGTAGTCCTGTCAGTTTTTGTTTATGGCGTTTTTTATGCAGGTCAGCACCAAACAATTCTACATTTTGGAAGTGTCTATCAAATATGCATCTTTAAAAAAAAAATTAAATCGTAAATGCATAATGGTAAGAAACTATATAATTACCTTTAATGTATTTGTGTTATTTCATAAATTTTTATATTGCATAATCTAGTCTCCACTAAACCATGTAATTTTTTTCCATTTATAACAATAGTAATTATGACAGTTATGCTTATGAATGTAATATTTTCTGTTTTTAAAATGGCTAAACTTTCAAAAAAAAACAGAATGTTGATGTACTTATATACCATTTAGGAAGAAATATAAAACTGAAAATGAATATGGGCAAAAACAGACAATCACCACATCACTTACGATTTTTCACATTATATAAACTCTTAATATTAATAAAACTCTTAATTTATGTTATAACTAATAACAGAAAGAGAAATCTTTTGGATACCAATCATGTGAAATGCAGAACGTGCACACACAATTAACTTAAGCCTAAATTTTATCACCATCAATTCGTTTATTGTCTATTTTAACACATGTACTTAATTACCTGTTGTAACTGAATTTGATAACTTTGAATGTTATTCTTTAATTCTTCTGCCATTGTGTTACTCTTATAAAATAGTTTCTGAATTTAAATCATTTACAGACAAGAAAACCTTTCTTGACAAGTTCATACTCCCCCTGGCGACTAAACTAATAAAAGAAAAAAATATATACAGTATATACAGGTAACTATATTATTGCACTCAAAATAATTTAAATATAATTTTCTTATGTAGTATTTAAAAAGTTAATTAATTTGAATAAAAATAATATTTAAGCCGTTCACAAGCCAAATCGATTAATTCCATTAGTATATCCTTAATTGTGATTGTTATTACTTTAATATTTTTCGCTTAACGAATTTTATATATCGTTATATGACATATAAAAATACATTCTACATTATTTATTTAAATTTAAAGTTTAAGAGTAATTTTAAAAAATAATATATATTATCAATATTTCCATTTTTTTATTTTATGGAATTAATCGATTTGGCGACTGGGCGGCTCGTTTAAAAATAAATTTTCAAAATTTCAAAATTAAAATATAATTGTATCTTTACTTTACTGTCAAATCTCGTGTTTTGAACTTACAGTAATTCGTTCATAAAAGTTGTTCGAAAACCGATTTTGTTCTAAAACCGAGATATATTTTTTTCATAAGAAACAATATAAAATGGGTTAATCCGTTCTCAACCTCCAAAACAAAACCTTTTTAAAAAAAAGCTTTTTAGCTGTATTATATACATAAAAGTGCCTACCGGTACAAATGCAATATAATAATATAATATTATCTATATCTATATGACTATATCTATTATATATGTTACTGTGAAAGACCGAAATTAGAGAATGTCGATATTCTCCGGTGAATGTCGACACATACAAAATACCTCGGTGAAAGACCGAATATTTGGTTATATTATTATACATTCGAACAATCCCCGGTGTATGTTGACAAGCACAGATAAGCTTTGGTGGCGGTCGAAACGACACCCGAGAAGCCGATGTCGACAGAGAGGCAACAGTCTGTAGCCAAATTTTTCGCCGGTTTCCTTCTGCTCAAATTGGTGATACTGTAAGAATACAAGTCCCTGACGTCAACCGTGGCCGTACAGATGCCCGAAATGTGTTGGCGGTTGTTGTTGGAATAGAAAACTCCGACTTTTATAAATTAGCAAACAAAAATGGTACCTTCAAGCAGCTCTATACCGTAATCAGTTCGTAATTTGTAAGAAAAGTTACTTTCTATAGATGAGATTTTTCTCAAGAAATATCGCTGAGAGAAACAGCTGCAACTAATTCAAAAAGTGGAGGGCAAGGCTTTGCACGCGGTCATTGCAAAAAGAAGTGTTCCACGAATAAATGCAGTTGTAAAAGCAAGGGACAAGAGTCCCTTGCTTTTAACCATTGCAAAGAGAAGTGTTCCACGAATAAATGCAGTTGTAAAAGCAAGGGACTCTTATGCAATTCAAAGCGCCATAAGAGTTTAAGTTGTTGCAATAAATAAAATTATATACCGTTAATCACAATATATGTGTATGTGTAATTTTGTGTATTATTTTTCTTTTCTGATTAAGAATGTACTGTTTGTTTTAGGTTAAACAGTTTATATAAATGTGCTGTTACTTAAGCTTTCTCCTATTTTGACATATTGAAAAGTTGCATTTTTGTCTTAACGTAATAAAAATATTTTTATTCAACATTCACCATCAGTGAGTGCATGCTACATGTCAACATTTGTCGGTGTAAGTGAGAAATAATGATATCTAGCAAATATTTCGTACATACACGAAACGACTGTGTGAATGTTGACATTCACCGGAAAATCTCGACATTCACCAGATATCGGTCATTCACAGTAACATATATATATTTAATATATTAAAAGCAAAATGTTTCGACACCGTCAACCGAAACTAACACTTCACAAAGAAGTGCTATAAGAGACTCAACTCTGACTGTCTGCATGAAATATAACAAAATCAATCAAAACGGAAAACAAGTACTTTATCCACACTTTCCGAAATATTGTACTTCAATTGATTTGATTTAAATCCAATTGGAAAGTTTTGAAAATATAATTGTATTTTTACTTTACTTTTAATAAAGGAATTAGAGGGCTGTCTGTCGTTTAACGGCTGACTTACTCTTATGTAAGGAAACGGAAGGAAGGGAGAAGAGATAGAGTGAAGAAGGAAGTGGTGAAGAAAGGATGATAGGAAAGTAAGGGTGCGACTATGCAGGCGCGAGCGAGCGAGAATATGTGGCAAGAAGAGGCGAGACGCGATAAATATCAAAACCTGTCAGATATGTGCGAGAATCAGAAATTCGCTCTCGCCAGCGTTATTTCTCGCTTCTCGTTTGTGCATGGTTTTCCTTTGCGAAAACTAAATCGCTCGCAACCTCTCGCTCGCTCTAACTTCNAATAGGTGAGACCGAGTGATAACCGCATAAGTCTAATTCGTGTAAGTCGGGGTATAATTTCGCAATTTGTGTAAAATCCAAGTCGGTTGTATATAAGCTAATAAATGTTCTCGTTAATCTTATCTCGTCTTTTGATTCATTCACAGTTACAAGAAATCACCACATAGAGTCTCTCGAGTCTCCGTAGATATAACAAACACAGAAATAAATAACACAAAATAAATTGTAGCTATGTGTCGATTCAGCATGACACGTCCGAACATGTAAGCCGAACAATAGTGTGGAGGAGTGAGTAATCAAGAGTTGTATGGCGCTCAAACAAAAGACAAATCGATGAGATTTGAAAATCGCGTAACTCCGGGTTCGCGTAAGTCGGGGTAGCGTAAGTCGGGGTATTACTGTACATTGACAACAAACTTGCATATTTACACACTGATAAACTATCTGATTCAGGCATCATAATATATTGCTACATAAACACATCAGATGATATATTAAGTATTTGTCATATTAAAAAATTTAGATGTACAGTACCGTATATTAACCCTTCTTTGTCCATATCATAATAGTGAAAGTATTAATACCTAAAATGTCATTGTTTACAAATTCCAAAATAAACTTTTGTGCATACCATTTCTTTGACACCTCCCTATCATATTGTTAACAGTCTTTTTACCATTGATATCAATTAACAAAAAAAACTGATGTTCTTATTATAATAATATTTCATTACTTAAACTTTCACTATATATATTTGAAAATGAATAAGTAATTTGAAAACATTTTGTATAGTTTTATTTTAAATATTTTTTATGAAATATTTAAATCTGTCCTTTTGTAGACCATATTTATTACAAAGCTAATTTAAAAGATTACTCTTTATAAAATAAATGAAAAATTACTGATAAAAATTTTTAAATACTCACAAGAAGATCCTTTTTAAGCTTTAGAAGTTCTTCACTCTCTGGTTCTGTGGTCAAAGCAGCTTCAACCTGTATAGAAAAAATATATTTTAACTCAATATTTAATAAATATTAAAATCAAGAAATGCGTAACTAAAGAATAAAAATAATCTAGACAATGAAAAATAATTATTCATATCAAATTACATTTAGTTATTAAATAATGATTAGTAGTATAGTCAAGAAGGAAATTGAAATAGATTTTTTTGACAGTGATCAAATAATTTTACAACAATCAAACTATAATAAAATGATTCAATGTATGATAAATATGAAGAATTTTTCTTTGCTGCCAACTAGAATACCCACAAATGAGCATGAGTGATAAGTTAAGCCAGTGATTCAATGCATTTTAGACAACTTGCATTTATCATTTTAATAACATTTTGATTTGCTTAAAAATATCCCTCAGCCAAGATTGCTTGCATTTGCAAAAATACATAAAGAAGGTAAAGAGTTTAGACCCGTGGTTGAGAAGTGCAGAGGACCCACATACAATCTTGAAAAACATTTACATAAATTTATTTCAGAGGAGCTAGGTAACAATGCTCTTGTTGCACAAAATCCAATGAATGTAGCAAAAGAACTACAGGAATTAAGTTTATTGGATGAAGAAGTTGGGACGATTATGGATTATGAAAACCTATATCCATCTATAAAAACAGAATCCTGCTATAAAGCATTAATGGAATTTATGCTCCACAAAAAACCATAAATTGCTGCATTTATGAAAGATATGACAGAATTAGCCAAATTGATTTGTTATGAGTCCTTCTTCAGTTTTGATAAACAAGCTTACAGACAAAGAAAGGGGTACCTATGGGAACCCAATGTCAGGATTATTGTGTAAACTAGTCCTATAGAACTTGGAGAAGAGCATTATCAATGGGTTCAAGATGGATATTGTATTTTACAAAAAGGTATGTAGACAATGTATGCATTATTTGGAAAAACGACAAGAGAATACAAGAGTTTGTACATGTAATCAACAATAACAACAGAGATGGATTAAAACTTAAACTAGAGCAAAAAAGTCATGAACAGATACATCTTTTGGATATAGACATCCAATTGAAAGGAGATAGTATAACAACAGGTATCTACATAAAACCAACACATAGTCCACTATACATTCCGGCTAACTTGTACAACCCCTACAGATAAACTGTCCGCCTTTCGAGCACTCATCAGAAGAGCGTATTCACATTGCTCTAATGTGCTGGACAGGATTAAAGAACTTAATAGAATTAAAGAAACAGCTTCAATCTTGGGATATAAAAAGAGTACAATAGAAGGGCTAATTAAAAGTTATGAAGGAGGCAATGTAATAAGAACCCAAGCAAGTCAGTTTAAAAATCTCCAAGTTCACATATAATCGAATCATCAAGAACATCATGAAACAAGTATTGGACAGAAAACACTCAAAAATGATTTCAAAAGAGCACCTAATATATACAGTATTTTAAGAAATGATAAAGATGTGATTAAAAAAGAAGAAAAAGCAGGCGTATATAAAATTCTGTTTGAAAACCAGGAATTAGGAATTAAGAAGGACTACATTGGGAGTCACAAGAAGGAATTTGGCTACCAGACTTAAGGAGCACAAATATGATATTAACAAAGGGCACTGCAACACAGTATTATCCTGTATGGCACAAGCAGAGGACTCTGTGGTTAAATAGAATGAAGTGACTATCCTCAGGACTATGCATTCTCCATCATTGGCAATGCACGAAGAAAAAATCAAAATATA